AAAAAAAAAAGATTATGCCGAATCAGCATAAAAGTCAGACCTGACTTATTCCTGGAAGGGACCAGCCCATTTCTTCCCATTGGAAATGAGATAGTCATAATGAAGCTTTGAATATAGAAAAAAAGATTTTAAGTACAGATAGGCAACTTGTTCGTATAAAGAATTTAAAATGCTTTTCACGTTTTCATAATCCTTTCCGTTGTTACTATCGACTGCATCACTGTATCTACTATTCACGGCTGTCTGCTCTATCACTGCCCCACATCCACCCCCCTCCCCAGCCCCAGTTTTCGGTATATTTCTAGTTCTATCCATACTGAAGTAACTGCATTAGGCTTTGACAGCTGTCTTCATCTCTGATGGGATCCGGACCCCTTTATGATGTGGGGCCTTCATATAAGCATGTGATGTGGAAAATGAAACCCATGTGTAAATACAGAGTTAATTAGTATGAAAAGTCCCATTTTCCACCACATTTCTTGCCAGCAGCTATGATTATAAGCACTTAAACTTTCCAGGTCTCCGAATATTTTTTTAACTAGATTCGAGCACAGAGATTCCAAAATATCCCTTTCTGTTATATGATAGATGCACGGCAAAAAGAGAATCAGTCCTGGAAGAGAGTTTGTGTGTGTGTGTGTGTGTGTGTGTGTGTGTGTGTCTGTGTGTGTGTGTGTGTATATTATAGGCTTATTAGAGTTCATCACCATACTTTCTGGACATAAATGTGATTTATTTCCTTCTAAATGTTTTAAGCAATAGCAAGTTTTCTGAGATCTTTAATCATTGAGATGTTATTTAAGGTAGACCTTAATGAAGCAGTGCTTAAAAAAAAAAAAAAAAAAAGCTCCAGAGCAAGGCTGATGTCAAGTTGGCTTTTTATCTATAAGTTCTCTGATGGAAATTATCGCCATGGTAGAGATCAAAATAAGTTCTTTGAATTGTGTTGAATAAAATAAGATGAGTCAGCCTAATTTGGGGAAAGGGTCTTAAAAAGGAAGTAGATGCATTGGGATGCAGCTAGTGAAAGCCAGTGACAGAGAGAGGCTAAGAATATACCATAATGCATGTTATATTTGGGTAGAAACATACATAGTTTGATCAGAATAGAGCATCCTGGTGAAGACAGGAACCCGGGAAAGAGAATCAGCAGCTTACCTTTACTGCCACTGCTCTGACAGGCCAGCAAGTAGGATGTGCCGAACATACACGTATACATGCCTCTGTGCACAAATGCTGATTCCTAGGCGGGGGTGGCCTGTTGGCGACCCGAAAAATAATATCACTTACGGACTGGTTGTTAACAAGGAGAGTTAGAAAGAGGTACTTTTCATGTCTTGGTATCCATGTCAATCAGAGAACATGGAGAAGGCTGAGAGATTTTGGTCTAGCTGGCCATGGACTCCTCCTCTTCTTGTTGTCCAAGATTTCTGACCCTCAGAAGCTAGAAGATGCCTCTTTTTCTCTGAGCCTTACTTATATCTTGTCCAGGCTGCTCACAGCCGGTCCAGTGGCATCATGCTGCCTACGTCATTTGCTCCTTCATGGCCTCAAAATGACTGATCTCTAGAAGTCTACCTGTTCTTCATGCTTGCATTCGGATTTCATGTCAGCTTAGAAAGCATTTGACATAAAAAGACAGAATATGTAGCAAACCATCTTAAAAGGAAGACCATAAATTATCTTGGCATTTAAAGTATTTAAAAAGGGTTAACGTGTATATTTCACTTAAGTAGATGGCTGTGAAAATCTTTTTTTAAGTTTAAAAGAAAAAATGCAATTTCTTAGCAGGATAAACGAGTTAATAGAGTGCGGTAGGGATTGATCAGAGAAATAAAATAATATATTTTATTGCACACTTCTGCTGGTGCTTTGCAGGAAATACATGCCTGTAAAAACCTTTTAAAAATGTAGTTTGAAAGACATGGATATAACACATTGTCTTACTAGCAGGGAAAATGAAATGATCAATGAAAGCAGGGGTGCGGACGAGGGGATCCTTTAACTGTTTTCCTTGCATATGATTCCATTTAATCAACCTTGGAACAAAGGATAGCATTTTTCTTTCCTTTTTCCATGTGTGTTATTTCACGTTATTAAATGAGATTTGAGTGAACTAAAGTAAATCAGCCAAAACCTCGCTTGGATTAGATCCCCTAAACTTCCTTATGCCCAGATTTTTTCCAGATGGTTTCTCATGTCGCCAGTTTAATATCAACAGTGTGTGACACGCTAGAAGAATATTTCTTAGACCAGTTCAGTCCTTGAAACATAATTACAGTCAGTTGCCATCACTGTTACTGTAAAAATGAAGATAACTGGGGTAAGTATATTAAAATCCAGCCCCAACCAACCTCACTTTCAGATAGCGCACTTAAGAACCTTCACACATTTTTGTTCCTATCTGTCTACATTGCTATACACAGTGTAACACCGATATCTTTCTGACAGCAAATGCCTGCAGGTCACTTTTTGGTTATATGTTGGGGGAAAATATCAAGAATTTTTACGTGATGAAAAAGATTATACGTTCAATGTCTATTTAAAAAGTCCGCAGTCTCTGCCTTCCCACCTTCATTTGCAAGTTGAAAAATGTATTTCCATGCTACTCCCCACTTTTGATCTTTTTTTATTGTACCACTGACCTGACTTATAGCACATCTCGCAGCTGGGTTTAGAAGCGTGTTAGCAGGCAATTGTAGGTACCATGTCAACAAATATGGAAAACAGAACAGCACTAACAAACAAGGAATGCCTGCACAAAGATGATTTGAGGTGAAAATAAAATGGGTTCATGAAGCTGCTTTTCAAAACCCTAACTTTTTGTTTTAATATAATCACAATCTTACGGAAAAGTTGCAAAAATAGTGGCGAGAACTCTGATAAACATCTACCAGATTATATATATACCTCTATCCACTTATATGTATGGGAGTATAAAATATATAATATATTTATGCATATATATACACATTATATATTATGTATTAACAATTCACAGTAAGCTGTGTACATGATGCCCCTTTACTTCTAAATAATTTAGTATTTCCAAAGTACAATAATATTTTCTTACCTAACCCCAGAAAAACTATCATGTTAAGAATTTAGAAGTGATATAATACTGTTGTAATCCACAATTCATCTTCAAATTTTGCCAGTTTTCCCACCAATGTACAGGATCTATTGTATTTAATTGCCAGCTCCAATTAGTCGTTAGTCTGGAATATCATGAAGCTGCTTTTTAAAATGCAGTATATTAAAGATACTCTGGGGCAACCCACTGCCAGTAGCCATGTCACAGTCCCTGCATTGCCAGGCTCTGTTGTAAATGCTTCTGGTTTTCTGGTAACCAACCTGCATTTTACATTCTCCAACAGAAAGCATTTCAAATGCAAATGTTCATCTGAAAATAAATCGCTAGAGATCTCTGAGAGTCTAAAGATGTGAAAACGTAAGCAATCTAAAGTTACTTTTAGATTGAATACACAGACTTAATTATACGCACTTATGTAACATAAATGAAGTCCCCCAAACTTCGTGGATATATGGTAATTACTTCATAGTAAAATTTTCTTATATGGATAATAGTTTGGAGTGTCTGAAGTGATAAGTAAGTGTGTACATTCACCTGAGATCATTATTTTGGCAATTAAATAAAATACCAAGCAGTGTAAGATGCTTTCAAACTATAAGATACTTTTTTGTGTAGTTTCTTGAAATCTAGAAGGTAGAATTGTCAGCTGAGCAGTAAATCAATCAGGGGTATTACTTGGTATTCTTTTAATAGTGGCTTAAGGCAGAAAGCTGGTGGTCCACTATAATATAAGCAACACTATGTTTGGAGCTGGGAACCAGTACACTAATCTTTTTCTTGCCGTTTATTAGCCCCATGGACTCCTTTGTCTCATCTATAAAATCAAGTGACCCAGCCCGGTGGTGATGGCTAAGCTTCTTTCAGCACCACAGTGCTAGGAAAACATTGGACATCTGCTTAGGCCAGGGTGAAGGTAGGGAAAGAAACATCATTAGTTTAATAAGTTATTATCATGCCCCAGTTTGTCCTTAAAAATAATATATTCCATTGGTATCTGTTGACTCACTCCTGAAAAGAAATACAATCCTGGTTTTGAAAATTACTTCCCTCATCATCTGACTGGGACCTCTGTGTTTAGGGTTCCTTTCAAATCTCATATCTTCCTCCTAACTCTGCCCTACTGTCATATTCCTTGCCCTTAAAAAGAGAGCACACTTTATTGTAATAATATTGTATGGTGACAGATGGTGGCTACACTCGTGGTGAGCAGAGCCTCACATATATATAGACTTGTCGAACCGCTATGTTGTACACCTGAAACTAATGTAACATTGTGTGTCAACTATACTTCAATCTTAAAAAGAGAAAAAAAAACTTTAAAAACAAGCGAAAAAGAGAAAGGGAGAATACCCCTTGGTATTCCCAGTAGTTTACCCTATCATCATTTCTATCTTATTGCTTAGGCCAATAAATACCCTTCAGTTAATCATTTGTGTGAATACGCATCACTCTGCAGCTTATCTCAAAACCTTCAGCTGTTTATCTGTGCATCTCCTCTAACACTCAGAGCAGTTTTCTTGCAATTGTCAAGTAATTTACCATAGTTATACTGTTTCGTTTCACAGTTATCCTAATATCAGTATTATATAAAAATATTGTCTGCCTACACTTATCTGTTTGGCAAACAGAAGTATACTCTGTATCTCAAATTACTCTCATCCTGGAAAAAATAAATACAAATTCTGAAGCTAGCTAGACCTTTTTTTAAGTGCTTTGTGATTCTACTAGGCAAAGTAATGACTGAAAGAAATACATTTTCAACATTTTATCCTCTTCCGGTTTGTTTTTCTCCAGGAAAATTATTTAAATATACTGGCCCTAGTTAAAAATACTTGGTTTCCATTCACTATTAAGGCAAATATTTGGGTTTTTTCATGAATGGCAAGTACAATTTATTTAAGGCTTTATCATTTTATGAATTATATAAAGAATATTATTCTCTTTCATTCATGAAGAGGAAGAGAATTAGGTCACATAATTGAAAAGTGAGGGTAATCCACTCAGCTGATGCAGATATCTGACCGTGCATGTCGGGTGCGTTTACTCCAGGAGGCTGGGCAAAAGCCTCAGACATGGTCTCCATGTTGCCCAGCATATGGGATGTGGAGAACAGCTCCAGCACCTGGGAACAATAGAGAATGCAAATAACTCCCATGGACACATCGCAGTTTGAGCCACATTATCGCAGTATATAAACCACTATGGGAGTAAGTCACAAACATTGTCTATGAGTCTTAACCCTTTCAAGACTCCGGATACCTTTTAATGATTTACTTCTGTGGTGCATTAGGGATACTCTAGTGACAACTTAAGAGCTCTAATGTGCCTGCCAAAATTGCCTGGTAATTTTTTTTTTCTTTTCTTTTCTTTTTTTTATTATCATGTTATGTTAATCACCATACATCACATCATTAGTTTTTGATGTAGTGTTCCATGATTCATTGTTTGTGCATAACACCCAGTGCTCCATGCAGAACGTGCGCTCTTTAATACCCATCACCAGGCTAACCCATCCGAATTGGAGAATTATGTCCTAGAGGGTATGTTTAAAAGTCATGAACTCAAATACCTTTATAAGCCAGGTGGTAGCCTATGAGTGGCACTTGCAGTAGGGATAAGGGAAAGCATATTGCACCCTTAAAGGAGCAGTCCATGCCTCTGCTCATCAGTGGTTCCCAGGGCAGAATGTGGGCTCAGAGTTACCTTGTCTCACCTTTCATGAGAAGCTGGAAATTCTGATTTTTGTGTGAACTCTCCAGAGTCTTAAATGTTGGAAAATTTAATTCCGTTTAAAAAACACTGTGCTGGCTAAGCTAAATAGGCCTGTGTGTTAGCAGTTCTTGAATTCTGAAGAATTCAGGAAGATACTAGTGTACTTGAACTTCAGTTAGATACGGGCCCCGAGGCCTGCAGCTCTGGCTCTAAATTTTTGTATAGGAAAAACCTGCCTTTCCAATGGATTTTCCATTTCCCACCCTTCCTTCTCACTTTCCTATCAGGGCAAGGGTTTGCATGTACTTTAAAAGTCCCAATTAGAGTTTCAGGGCAGTTTCATACCTCTCACCCTTTGTGTTTCTTTCCCAGTAAAATGGAGATTTCTAGAGTTTAGGCCTTGAGGATGGAGGATACACCTTCATACAGCACATTGTTCTTCTTTCCACGTTGATGTATTAGTCAGTGTAGGCCAGGGCATGCTGCAAAACAAACTAATACTGAATATTCAGTGAGGGCTCCACACAATGAAATTGTATCTGTTGTTCTCACTGTACATCTAACCCTAGTGAACAAGTGGATATAGTCAACACCATTTCTCAGTGACTTAAACTGACAAATGGTCCTATATTGTGATGCTGTCATCTCAAAATATGGCTTCTAAGGACCCAGTAGCTTAGGAAGAGAGCAGTGACAGGGGCATTTCAGTTTTGTCCAGAAATGGTATACATTACTTCTGCTTATGGCCGTTTGGCTAAAACTAGTCATGTGGTTCTAACTGAACTGCATGGGAAGCTGGGGAATATGAAATAGTGCATGAAATCTTGGCTAAGCAATACTATTTCTATAATAATGTTTTCCTCACTGTCAAACTCAAGGTTGGGGCTCCCATAAGTAAGCAGCCACAAGTGGTTTCTCCCCAAAATCCTTCACAGAAGCCCAGATCAGTCTCTATAGGCATGATGTGGAAGTTATCAGACGCATCTTCTAGCTTAAGTCTCATGATTAAAGGTTGAAGCTTGGGAACACTAGCATTTTTTAATCCAAAAGTTTAAAGGGTCCCCCTATCCAGGGATGCTGCTCTTCTGTTGCCATGTCATAGTCATAGCATGGGAGAAAGCAGAAAAACAAACTTACTGAAGGCCTTGACCAGAACATGACTTCCCCCTAATAATCCTCAAACACAGAGCTCAGCCCAAAATTATAGGGAAGGATAAGGAAGTATGTTCTAGTTAACTTCTCCCCTGAATATTTCTATTCCTCAATTCCGTATTGGTTGATCTGAAGTATAAACCTCTTACTAATGCTACTGTGGTATATATATGAAAGTTTGCACTATGAAACAGAGTTTTAACTAATCTGAGCAGAAAGTTCTCTAATATGCATGCTTGGACAGATTTGTATGTTTGGGAATCAACCTTGCTGGAAAAAAAAAAAAATAGAATGACTTTAACTCTCATGTATCATTTAGCGATAAACAAATGAAAATCCAACTGAAACCAGCTCAAGAAAAGGAACTAATTTGCTCTGGCAATTGGTAAGTTCAGGAGAGGGACTGGTTCCACTTACAGCTCAATTCAGAACTCAGACTATGCAACTGGTACCTGCATTTCCTCTTTCACTCTTCTGTTATCATCCAGGCTGGCTTCATTTTGAGCCACTACATGTTGGCCCTTAGCATTTCAGCTGTATCAAGATGGCAGCTCCAGCTTCAAAACTTCTCATGTTCAAGTTTAGGAAGAAAGTCTGAGAATCCTTTTGGGATTCCTCAAAAATCCTGAGATTTACTCTAGTTGAACTGCTTAAGTCACATGCCCATCCCTGACCCTACCACTCTGGCTTGAGATATAATGATTGGTTTGTATCAAATAAAAAAAAGTAGAGGCTGTTGCCAGAAAAGAAAAAAAAAGATAGTAGGGGATCAATACATATCCACTACTCCGTGTAAAGTAGAGAATAAAGATACCTAGATATTTTAATCATTTAACACTATTATATATTTAAATTTGATTTACTTTTTTTAATAGGCTTTATTATTTATAGCAGTTTTAGGGTAATAGGGAAATTGAGTGGGAGGTACAGAGATTTCCCATATGCATCCTGCCCCCATTCATATAATGCCTTCCCTGTTATCAACACCCCCCACCACAGTGATACATTTATAACAACTGATGAACATACATTGACACATCATTACCACCCGAAGTCTATAGTTTACATTAGGATTCACTCTTGGTATTATACCTTTTATGGGTTTGGACAAACGTATCCACATTTGTATCATACAGAGTAGCTCCACTGCCCTAAAAATCCTTTGTCTCTACTTATTCATCCTTCCTTCCCAGTAATCCCTGGCAACCACTGATCTTTTTACTGTCTCCATAGTTTTGCTTTTTCCAATATATCATATATGTGGAATCATACAGTATTAACCTTTTCAGATTGGCTTCTTTCTCTTAATAAATGCATTTAACTTTCCTCCATGTCTTTTCATGGCTTGATAATTCATTTGTTTTTAGTGCTGAATAATATTCCATTATCTGGATATACCACAATTTATTTATCCATTCACCTACTGAAGGACATCTTGGTTGCTTCTAAGTTTTGTTCATTATGAATAGTGTTGCTATAAATATCCATGTTTTTCTATGGTCATACATTTTCAACATTTTTGGGTAAATACCAAGGAGCACAATTGCTGGATCTTATGGTAAGTGTATGTTTAGTTTTGTAAGAAACTACCAAACTGTCTTTCAAAATGGCTGTACCATTTTGCATTCCCACCAGCAATGAATGAGAGTTGCTGTTGCCCTAGATACTTGCCAACATGTGGTGTTGTCAGAGTTCCAGATTTTGGCCATTCTAATAGATGTGTGGTGGTATCTCATTTTAATTTGCATGTTCCATGATAATATATGATATGAAACTTATTTTCATATGCTTATTTGCCATCTGTATATCTTCTTTGGTGAGGTGTCCATTAAGGTCTTTGACCTATTTTTTAATTGGATTGTTTTCTTATTATTGAGTTTCAAGTTCTTTGTATATTTTGGATAACCGTCCTTTATCAGATATGTCACTTGCAAATATATTCTCCCAGTCTGTGGTTTTTCTTATTATTCTCTTGACGATGTCTTTTGCAGAGCAGAAAGTTTTAATTGTAATGAAATCTAGCTATTCATGTTTTCTTCCATGGATTGTGCCCTTGGTGTTGTATCTAAAAAGTCACCTCCAAATCTGAAGTCACTGAGGTAGTCTCCTGTGTTATTTTCTGGGAGTTTCATAGTTTTGCATTTTACATGTAGGTCTATGATTTTATTTATTTATTTATTTATTTATTTATTTAGGACTGTGATTCATTTTGAGTTAATTTTTGTGAAGGGGGTAAGGTCTATGTCTAGATTCATTTTTTTGCATGTGGATGTCCAGTTGCTGCACCACCATTTGTTGAAAAGACTATCTTTTCTCCATGGCATTGACTTTGCTCCTTTGTCAAAGACCAGTTAACTATATTTATGTAGCCCTATTTCCAGGCCCTCTATTCTATTTCACCATATTATATTTTTATATCTACCAATTATCATGATCTTTTCTTACACCTGCTGACTCGGCGTACTATATTCAGAAACCTGGTAGTTAAAAAATTCTGCTGATGTACTTTAACCCTTAAGGTATATTTTGATCTATAATTCTAGGTCTCAGTAGTCAATACAGAAGTACTTCTTACTGAAGCCACTGCTTTATTTTTAACATGGTGCTGTTTATACATCTGGCAGCCTGCAGATAGCTGGAAACAGTTTGGATGTCCTTGAAATGAAAAATAATCACATGGTTATAATCTCTGGATTTCTTTTTGGATTTATCCAAGTCAAGAAGGTTGAGACAGAAATAATTATTTTTCAAATATCTTTCCCCAAACTTTGTTTCTTTTCTTTGGCTTATTTTACAGGTATATATCCATTAACAGATGTGTTCCTTTTGATAATTTTCCCTCATTTATTGGAAATTTGACATTTACTTTGTTAGAAAAACATACTCTACTAATTATCTTATAAATATTCAACTTTATCTTAGGTATAAACTCTATATGATTACATATATTTAACTTAAAAAAAGAACTTAGGGAGCTATTAAGATTCTGTAAGATTTGATACTGGAGAAAATGTAAATATTGCTTATTGTGCTCTTTGTCTTTAGCAGATTATAGAAGGCATTTGTTTGGGAGGTGTCAAAGTGATAATATAAAATATACAGAGCATTAGGAGCAAGATGTCTCTAAGGCAAAATAAAATGAATAGGGGAAAAGAGACTTTATTTAAACTTGCAAATATGTCTTGACTTAGTGGCTTTCACAGTATGTTTTTAGAACACTAACCTGTAAGGGTTACTTGATCAGACAAGTTGGGGAAAATGCTGCATTCTATATTTTCTGCTTGGAATTTAAAAGTCAACATTGTCATATTAAGTTCTTTGAAAAGTCTTGTAGCAAAAAAAATAATAATAATAATAAACCCTGTTCAACTCTAACTTGGGATTTTTCAAACTTACTTTGACCATGGTATTCTGTTTGCACAAACAGCTGTTAACATCCTGTAGAATCACATGACAAACTCTGAGGAGCATGCTAACTTCTTCACAGCATTTAAAAAGAATCTATTAATCCATGTTGTATCCAGGTAAGCATCCCTTCTGCAAAATTCAAGCTTTTTCCAGTTTAGTCAGTAGGAAAGGGGACTTTCCATGTGCAAGTATTTATTGAAAGGGTATATTCATTCAAATTCCCAGATAAGAGGAAAGGATAAGTCTCCTGGAAATGGCAGCATGAGTACTTTCTAAGCCCTTACATAAATCGATGTTCATTATTATAAATCATAAATCCATTAGCCACCAAGAGAGAATTTCTTGTTTTATTTTAAAATTTGCAATGAAAACCATAATTAAATAACTTCTTTAGTAACATACTAATGCAAAGTAGAATAGTCTTCAGAATTAACCTTTTCTAACATGTAATTTTCACAGTTAATGCCTGACAAAGCAGAATATGAAAAGAAAAACAAACTTCACTGACATTCATTGTAATCTACCTAGAGTTTATTCAATGTGGTAGGAACTACTGAGTAATTCAGCTAATTTCTCAGAAGAACTGACCGTGGAAATCTTACAAGTTTGTTTATTTGGTCAGTATGTACTAACAGACAGTGATTTTGATATTGCTTTCAAGTATATTATCTTAACTATAATCTATGTGCTCTTGGTTTAAAAATAATATCCTTTGGGGCACCTAGGTGAGTCAGTCTGTTACAAAGTGACTGACTCTTGATTTCAGCTCAGGTCATGATCTCAGGGTGGTGAGATTGAGCCCTGCATTGGGCTCCATGCTCAGCGTGGAGTCTGTGTGGGGTTTTCTCTCTCCCTCTCCCTCTGTCCCTCCCTACTCGTGCGCTCTCTCTAAATAAATAAATAAATATCTTAGAAAAATAAAAATAATATTTTT